CCACTAAGGCTCTTCACTACTTCTGTTTGCAGGTCTTTGTGTTTTGTTACCTTCTCGGGTTCTTTCTCTTCTCTTCTGCTGCCTCTAGGAATCGCAATCTCCACTAGCCAGACATTTTTGTCTTTCTTATTGAGAATTGTTGAGTCTGGGATGTTACATTGGTATTATTATATTTTTATCCTGCCATTTTTATAGTGTATGTAAAAATAATTCAAGGTGGTTAAACACACCTAACAGTCCTGCCTTCTGTTTTCTCCACTACAACAACCCTGTGAGGTGGGCTGGGATGAAAGATAGTGACTGCCCAAAGTCACCCAACCAGCTTTTTTGCCTTAAGGAGGACTAGAACTCACAGCATCCTGATTTCTAAGCCAGCTACTCATAACCATTATATCAAATTGGCTTTTGATTAGTCAAAAATCAGTGATCTCTTGGTGGTGTCCTTTCTGGGCTCTAACCTCTGACAGTCTTTTCAATGGCCTCGCTAGAAGTTACATCCCACTCAAACCCTTTTATCTTTCTTGATGGTGGGAGGAAAAATGGGATAGAAGGGAAGAGTTCTATGGTTGTCGTGCCAAGAAAAGAAGGACTAGAGGTGACATGATAGCAGTGTACCAATATCTCAGGGGCTGCTACAAAGAAGAGGGAGTCAAGCTATTCTCCAAAGCGCCTGAGGGCAGGACAAGAAGCAATGGGTGGAAACTAATCAAGGAGAGAAGCAATTAAGGAGAAATTTTCTGACAGAACAATTAATCAGTGGAATAACTTACCTCCAGAAGTTCCGAATGCTCCAACACTGGAAGTTTTTAAGAAGATGTTGGATAACCATTTGTCTGAAGTGGTGTAGGGTTTCCTACCTAAGCAGGAGGTTGGACTAGAAGACCTCCAAGGTCCCTTCCAACTCTGTTATTCTATTCTATTCTATTCAAGTTGGAAGTTCTTGTATGGTCACTGATACATCCCTGAATTCAGGAAATTTACAACCAAACTCTTTGAGGGGTAGGTGTCAATGATTGGAGGAAAGTGTAGTAATTAATAATAAGAGCATCCATGTGTGTTTAAGAGAGACTATCTAAAATTTGGTTTAACTTTTATACTGCATGATATTGCTATGCCTTTGTAGTAATGCAACAAAATGTCTCCTCCTTCCTCTTGACAGTGGTTTTGTGAACAGGTAGACTGCCAGGACGATCTTGAAAGGATCAACATAAAAAAGTTCAGAGGAGATCTGGCCTATAAGCAACAGGAATTTCAGGTATTTTCATGGTGCATTCATGAACCAGCCTTGTAAAATTGATGCCCTCCAAAATTCCAGCTAACATGTTGAAAATCCATCAGTTATTAGTCCATCACAATCCAGGTTCAACAAGATTATTTTATATATTCCTGAAGCAATCTGTCCGGTTGTTTTTATTTCAACTTTGCATGGATGGATGGATGGATGGATGGATATTTATTTATTCTGGAAATGCCATGATATTATTTGGCAAGTGAATTTTGTGCAGCATAATTCATAATGGTAAAGCCACACTTGGAATATTGCATTCAGTTTTGGTCGCCACGATGTAAAAAAGATGTTGAGACTCTGGAAAGAATGCAGAGAAGAGCAACAAAGATGATTAGGGGCTTGGGGGCTAAAATATATAAAGAAGGGTTGCAGGAACTGGGTATGTCTACTTTAATGAAAAGAAGGACTAGGGGAGATATGATAGCAGTTTTCCAATATCTCAGGGGTTGCCACAAACAAGAGGGAGCGAAGCTATTCTCCAAAGCACCTGAGGGTAGGACAAGAAGCAATGGGTGGAAACTAATCAAGGAGAGAAGCAACTTAGAATTTAGGAGAAATTTCCTGACATAGAACAATTAATCAGTGGAACAACTTGCCTCCAGAAGTTGTAAATGCTCCAACACTGGAAGCTTTTAAGAAGATGTTGGATAACCATTTGTCCGAAACCATTTGATGTAGGGTTTCCTGCTTAGGCAGGGGGTTGGACTAGAAGACCTCCAAGGTCCCGTCCAACTCTGTTATTTTATTGTATTCTAATTAATAATCCAGTTCTAGGAAAAAGAGCTTTTTTGAGTTTGATGGAACTTAAAAATCAAGAAAATGTCCATGCGATGCTTGCGTTTACTTTTAATCACAGACAGTTGTTACCTTATGTCGAATAATTTGGCATGATTCACAACGCATTCACCCTTTTGGAGTTACACTAAAATTTGGTAAATCTGATTTCAGAAGGCTCTTCAGGAATATTCCAGTTGTCTTGCCCTTGTACCTTCCAGTAATATTGCCATGAGAAGAGATTTAAAAGAGAGCCAGGCCCGCTGTTTAGCTCATCTGGGGAAACATGAGGAAGCCCTGAGGATTGCAGAAAACCTGGTTGGTATTTTTCTAAGTGATTTTTCTCTTTATAGTTCAGCTTGGATCCTCAACATATACATGTCAGTATATCTGGAGCTCTTTCTTTTCATGCCTGTCATGTCCCATTCGATTCTTTTTCAGGTTTCTTTTTAATTAAAAAAGGCTTGCAGCAAATGAATTTAAATGAATATATAAGAGAAACTAGTATACTGTCAAGTAAGTGTTAGCATTGAGCTTAATCTCTGTTTTCAGGAATGCTTCTGGACCCACTTGTACACTGGAGAAATTCTTGGAAGATTTTTTTTAAGCTTGCCATTTCAGTAAATTGTGGACTTGTTTTATTGGGGAAAGTATATTTTGTCATTTCCAGAGTTTAGGGTACGAAGAGGTTGGCACTGCGTTTTTCAAGCTTGGCCACTTTAAGATAGCAATAGCACTAGTATTTAGACTTCATAGTGCTTTTATAGCACTCCCTAAGCCAGTGATGGCTAACCTTTTTGCCATCACATGCCGGGGGAGGGGGCGGGGGGGTCACGCGTGCATGCCTACACCCATAATTCTATGCGCCCCGCGCATGCGTGTGCGTCCACACCCGCTCCTGGCACGCGATGGCCCTATAGGCCCGTTTTTCTCTCTCACCTGGCTCCAGAGCCTTTCTAGGAGTCTGGGGAGGGCGAAAATGGCCTTCCCCACCCCCTCCGTAGGCCCTCCAGATGCCAGAAACAGCCCGTTTGCCAACTTCTGCTGAGCTCACGTGCCCACTGATATGGCTACGCGTGCCACCTGTGGCATGCATGCCATAGGTTCGCCATCACGGCCCTAAGCAGTTTACAAAGTCAGCATCTTGCCCCCAACAATCTGGTTCTTCATTTTACTGACCTCGGAAGGATGGAAGGCTGAGTCAACCTTGAGCAGATCAGGATCGAACTGGAGTGAGCAGTGAATTAGTCCTGCAGTACTGCATTCCAACCACTGCCCCACCATGGCTCTCTGACTAAGATGTCTGGACTTCAATTCCCAGAATTCCCCAGTCAGCTTATGCTAGCTGGGGAATACTGGGAGTTGAAGTCAAGCACCTTAATTAATGGAGTTAAGAAACACCACATCAGACTAACTCCTATTCTCCCTTCGCTCTTTTTTCTTTGTTTCTAGAGAAACGGGGCAACGAACACGGACCATGTAACAGCTGTACTTAATCTGCTGCATGCCATTTATCGCCTTCTGGAGGATATTGAGAACGTGATCGGGTGCTTGCAGAAATTGATCTTGTTGCACCCGTTTCATCCACAAACGTGGAATTTGCTGGCTGAAACTTACACGCGTTTGTTGCAATTTCCAGGCCCCTTGTCTGCAACCAAAGCCCATCTTTGGCAAAGCGATGGCTTAATTGCAGGCGGCTGCCTTCGGGTATCATCCAAAGAGGTCAGCTTTGGGTGTCATCAGACACAGAGGCAAAGGAAGGATGATCCTTTGATGTGTACCGTCCACCCCAACGGCAACTTTGGATCTTGTGTGGAATCGCAAAGCGTGCAGAGGCCTGTCTGTACCCTGGGAAATCCAGGGCCAGGACCCACAACGAACAGAGCTTCCTTAGGGGAGCGAAGATGGAAAGATATTCGTGTCTATGCGTGTGCCTCCTTTGTTAGAGCCAGGTACATATTCATATCCTTATTTGCATATGAAGTACAGGTAGGCCTTGACTTAAAACCATTCATGTAACAACAGTTCAGTGTTTTTTTTGTTTTGTTTTGTTGTTTTTGTTTTTTTTAAAAAATTTGATTTATATGCCGCCCTTCTCCGGAGACTCAGGGCGGCTTACAATGCGTTACGCAATAGCCTTCATACTTTTGTATATTTATACAAAGTCAGCTTATTGCCCCCACAAACTGGGTCCTCATTTCACCTACCTTAGAAAGGATGGAAGGCTGAGTCAACCTTGAGCCTGGTAAGATTCGAACCTGTAGAAATTGCAGGCAGCTGTGTTAATTACAGGGTGCATTAAACCACTGTACTACCAAGGCTCCAACAACTCCTACCAAGGGTTGCAACAGTGGTGGAAAAAGTGACTTACGATGGTTGTAGTGTGCCTTTGGTCATGTGATCAGACTTTGGGCACTTGGCAACGGGCATGTATACATAGTCCTCGGCTTACAACAGTTCATTTAGTGACCATTCAAAGTTACAACGACACTGAAAAAAGTGACTTATGACCATTTTCCACAGGTCTGTTGCAGCATCCCCATGGTCATCTGATCAAAATTCACACCTCTTGGCAACTGATTCGTATTTATGACGGTTGCAGTATCCCGGGGTCATATGATCCCCTTCTGTGACCCTTCTGACAAGCAAAGCCAATGGGGAAGCCAGATTCACTTAACAACCGTGTCACTAACGTATCATCTGCAGTGATTCACTTAACAACTGTGGCAACAAAATGGGAAAAAATTCACTTAACAAAGGTCTCACTTAGCAATAGAAATTTTGGGCTCCTATTGTGGATGTAAGTCAAGGACATTGTTTGCTGGTCCTGTGGTCACATGATTTGCAATCTTCCCTGGGGGCTTTTGACTAACAAAGTCAAGGGGGAAACGTTCGCTTAACGGTTGTGCTGAGTCGCTTAACAATTGCAGTGATTTGTGTAACAATCACAGCAAAAGTCATAAAATCGTTAAATTAATGTTTAGCAGTGAAAGTTCCAATCCCAATTCTGATTTTAACTGTTCATTTTTCTCTTTTGTTTCCAGGCTTTTGTTTCAGCTTATGCAGTTGACTCAGTCTTCTTTTGCTTTAGAGAATAATCTGAAAATGCAACAGGAAATTGAAGACAAAATTAGATTTTTTGAATTGGAGGCAGATATCTTGTCCTTGATGGCTGAGGTCGGTCACAATTCATCAAGGGTTGTGCAAACATTCTGCGTTAAGTAGGAATCGTGAGGAAATAACATCCAATAATTTGCAGATAGCTGCTTTATTATTATTATTTTCCTATTAGCCCTTAAGAAGAATAAGAGGTGATGGCAGGGGTGGGCTTCAGATCCTTTAGCAATGGGTTCGCTACCCATTGCTGGGTGGGCATGGCCATGGTGGGCGTGGCCTAGTCGGCTGCCTGCACCATAACGGGGGTGGGTGGGAGGGTGTTTTTCGCCCTCCCCAGGCTCCGGAGGCTTTCCTCAAGCCTCTGAGAGGGTGAAAACTGCTTCCCCCGGGCTCCGGAAGCCCCCCGGAGACAGGAAACAAGCCCATTTTGGGACTTCCATAACCTCTGGTAGGCCCGTTCTTTGGGCTCTCCCAAACCCTCTGCACTGCCCCTGCATTTACCTGGAATGATGAACGGGCCATGTGGAGACTCCTGCGAGGGGTGGGGTGGGAGGGATGGGGTGGGCGTGGCCAGCTAGGGGTGGTATTTGGGGGTTTGCTGAACCCCGGCGATCCTTGGCTAGAGGATCGCCCGAACTCCCAGGAGCCCACCCCTGGGTTGGGTGATGATGACAGTAATTTAAAGGGATGCCTGTTCAGAAATGTAGGAATATGGGTAGAATTTTAGAATTAGGGTTACAAGCTATTCTAGAGGTCATCTACTCTATCCCCTCATCCCTTCCATGCAGGAATTCTGTAATTACAGGGCCCATTAAAATGTCTTCTGTCTCTGCTTAAATAGCAGTAATCCTTGCGTTACAAATATAATGGAACCTGCCCATAATGGTTGTAAGTCGTAATAATTGTAAAATAGTGGATTCGCACTTATGACTGTGGTTCTTGCTTAACGACCCCGGCAATTGCCCTTATGATCACCGCAAAAAACATCATTTTTATGGTTTGAGGATTTTTTTTTGGTGGTGATCTTAAGTCACTAAACTGCAGTCATTAAATGAATTTTGCGGTCAGGGGTGGGTTCTAAAATTTTTTACTACTGGTTCTGTGGGTGTGGCTTATTTTGTGGGCATGGCTTGATGGTCATGTGACAATTCTTTAGGATTTAGCAGAGGTACTGGTCTACCAGGCTTTTAACTGCTTTCAGAGCTGTACCGGTCTACTCATTTGTTTTTGGAGGCATCGGTCTACCCATTTGTTTTTGGAGGCACCGGTCTACTCATTCGTTTTTGGAGGCACCGGTCTACCAACACACTGCCTTTTAACACTGATCAGCTGTAGGGCGGCCTTTTGAAGCCCCGCGGCAAGAGTTTAAACAGTTTTTTTCCTTCTAGCTGATCAGCTGAGATTCGGGAGGCAGCCATAGATTGGGGGTGGGGCCAAATAAAAGGTAAGAATAACGGGGGGGGCAGCTCCCGAACAAAGAGAACCAGTTCGGTGATGTCATATCGTTACCGCTACCAGCTTGGCCAAACTGGGAGGAACCCACCACTGGTCATGTTCGTAAGTGCAAACCCATTGTTCATGAAGGTGCAGTTTTGCTGAAAATGAGAAGTACTGGTTTTTTGGCAAAACCGTCATAAAATGCAGTCATTAGATCATCAGACACTGCAAATGGCTATAAACACGATTATGTGACTGCGGAGGAGTTCATGCCATTGAATCTTTGGGATCTGGGTCATGTTCCATTTTTTCAGGTAGGAAAAAGGTCGTTAAGTGAATTCTTGTAAGTCGAGGACTGACTGTGTTTTCAGTGGAAGGGAGCTCAGCAAGTCCTGAGTCAGGATTAGGGTTAATGTGGAAACCTTTTCAAACCTTTTTTGGGGGGGATGTTCCTACACTGTGTTAAACCATCCCTGATCATTAACATAAACAAATACGCTGCCTCTTCAACCTTATTCTGTCTTCTTCTTCTTGTGCCATATCTGTCATCGGACGTTGGCGATCATGTTGGCAATCCTATTTTTGTCAAGAGCCGCATGAACAAGTGCTGCTGAGTTTTGTCCAAACCAAGTCCTTTAGATTTTGAAGCCATGATCTTTTCTTCTGCCTGGACCTCCTTTGCCTTCAGTCTTTCCCTGGAGGATTAAGTGAAGGATGCCATATTTTTCCGGGTGTCACAACACATGTCCAAAATATTCTAACTTTCGCTTTTTTATGGTTTTGATGATTTCCCTTGGCTTTCCCAGGCGGTTTACCATCTCCTTATTTGTGATTTTGTTAACCCAGTTTATACGTAACAGTCGTCTGTAAATCCACATTTCAAACGCTTCTAGTTTCTTCAAATGATTTTCTGTCAGAGACCAACTTTCTACTCCGTAGAGCAGGATAGAAAAGATGTAACATCTGACAAGCCTGATTTTCAGTTTTAGGCTTATGTCGTGACTGCAGAAGATCTTTTTCATTAGCCTATATAAATATAGGATATTAGTATAATTTTCCAATCCTTAACAATATCTTTCTTCTATTTTATTTCTTACATGTATTGCTTTATTCTTACTTGCATGATTTATTAACATTTCCATTTTATTCAATTTTACATTTCAATTTTCCCCTTAATTTCAATTAATTCTTTTGTTACTATTATTTCTCTCGAATTTGTACATCTTCCAACAACAAAATATATAGTCCATTCTGTCTTTCACATTGCATCTATGTTGTTTATATAAATAAGCATAGAAATTTTAAGACACAATTAAAAAATGGAAAAAGGAAATTTTGGCAAATATTGTAATTGAGTAAAATGTACTTGAATATGTTAAATTGTATAAGTTATGATATGGCCAATACTCTGTTCATAAAATTATGCGGGTGAAAATGGGGGAGGGGAATCAATAAAACTTGATTCAAAATAAATAAATAAATATAGGATATAACCTTATCCCATATAAATCCTTAACAAGGTCAGTCATTTTTTTCATGCTTAAGGATTGCATGAATTGAGCCATCCTTTGCAGGTAACATTAATCAAATTAGAAATCTACTAGTAACTATAATTTCAGAATATTAATCCTGCTTTTTTTTTTTAACTTTGCAAATGTCCAACTCTGTCTCAATCTGATGTGAGAGGGGAGAAATATTTTCGGTCAGAGCTAATGAAGTATACGTATTTTTTTTCCCTGAGACTCTTATAAAAAATAACAGTATGTCGCAAAATAGTGATTAAAATGGCAGTGAACGTGATAATGTACTGTATTAAACAATAATAATCATACAAAGTTTAGTTTAGTTACAGTATTAATCATACTGTATTAAACAATAATCATACAAAGCTTACGGTATTTTTCGGACTATAAGACACACCTGACTGTAAGATGCACCTAAATTTAGAAGAGGAAAACAACAAAAAAAGGTTTTTGGCCTACCTTTTTCCGGGCCTTTTCCAGTCTTTTTTCAGCCTGTTTCCGGGGCTTTTTTCAGCCCATTTTTGAAACTTTTTTCGGCCCTTTTTTTGGAAAAAAACGGGCCAAAAAAAGGCTCAAAAAGGGCCGAAAAAAGCCCTGGAAACAGACCAGAAAAAGCCAAAAAACCAGGCCGAAAAAAGCCTCAAAAACGGGCCGAAAAAAGCCCGGAAATGCGTCGGAAAAAGCCGAAAAAATGGGCCAAAAAAAGCCCTGGAAATGGGCTGAAAAAAGCCTCACAAATGGGCCAGAAAAAGCCCTGAAAACAGGCCAAAAAAGCCTCAAAAACGGGTCCAAAAAGCCTCAAAAACGGGTCCAAAAAGCCTCAAAAACAGGCTGAAAAAAGCCCTGAAAACGGGCTGAAAAAAAGCCCGGAAACGGCGTGCAAAGGCCAAAAAATGGCTGGTGGGTAGGCGGGGCTTTGGCAATATTCGGTCTATAAGACGCGTACACATTTTCACCCCCTTTTGGGAGACAAAAAAGTGTGTCTTACAGTCCGAAAAATATGGTAGTTTAGTTACAGTATTAATCATACTGTATTAAACAATATTAATCACACAGAATTCTGTATGCTTTACTTGGAAAGCAAACATACATTTGAAAGTACCTGATATATAAATAGGAATTAAGGTTTGGGCTACGAACCTAATTAATTTATTATTTTTGTGTGAAATTACATCTTGGTTCTTTGCTGAATGTTTTTTTTTAAGCTAGTGCAAAACTGATATTTCTGCTTCCTGTACACGCATTTCCTCGTAGGTTATGGGAGAAGATCTTGTTCCAGAAAAGCTGAAAGGAGAAGCTCAGGAAGAGGTGAAATGTTTCTCAGATGAAGCCTTGCCATCCATCCTGACTGCATCTACCGTGGAGTTTGAAAGAAAATGGTTCCAGAAGCTCCAAGGCTGCTTTCCTCACATGGACTATCCGACGTAATGCCACGTGGCTGCACTGAAGCGCTTCTTTGGTTTTTCGGTTCTGTTTATCCCATCAGTATTTTATCAGAAGGGACCCTGGAGGTCTTCTAGTCCAACCCCCTGCTCAAGCAGGAGACCCTGTGCCGTTTCAGACAAAGGGGTTAGCTTGCCAAGAGAACATGCGAAGAGGAACAGAGCCTTTCACTGTAGCTCATGCAGTTCACACTGGAGTGTTTTTACCATTGAAAAGGATGAGCCACTTCGTTTGAAAATCACCTTAACATCTGGCCCTACTTATGCCGGTTTTGACCAACTTTCCTCCTCCCCATCTTTTAATTGAGGCTCAGTAATTGGATCTTGACTGTATTTTCTTTATGTCTTTTAGGTTTTGAATAGTTTTTATCTTTTTCAGATTGCAAGTCGCCCAGAGTTACCCTGTGGTAAGATGGGCGGCCAATAAATTTTACAAATAAGTAAATAAATGTGTCAAAATTTCTGGGGGCGTGTATAGTTCTGTTCAATAGACTTTTAATTTTTTAAATTTTTTAAAATACAAATAATACATACATATACATCTAAAAACAAAAAAAAAAGAAAAAAAGGAAAAAAGGAAAAAACACAAATATTACAGTGCACCCCCCCACCATGAGACTATTTTCCCCCCCTTATATTTCTCCTTCTATAACAACTAAAGGTTATGTTGCAACCTCTTTCTTGCACCTCCAACAAATATTTGTATATTTACCATCTATTTGAGTTAATTTACATGGTGTTAGGTACCACCTCCATATCACTTTATATCCATTTTCCTTAACTCTAACTGACATATTCTTATATACTCTTCTATTCCAAATATTTTCCAATATTATCATTTATTTCTCCTCAATAGACTTAATTCATCACCATTTGAAAAACTTCAGGCAAACAGAGAATAAAGTTTTTTTTAAATTACTATTACTGCTTTGGAAGTAATACACTAATATTTTTTAATGAAGAATAAAAGTCTCAAAGCAGGTGAAGACTTGAGAATATGAGGCAGGCTGCCCCTGAACAGATAGCCCTGCAGATAAATTAGGTTTAATCCATATAGGTAGTCCTCAATTTACAACAGTTCATTTAGTGACTATTCTAAGTTACAATGACATTGAAAAAGTGACTTTATGAGGTTTTTCACGCTCATAACTGTTGGAGCATCCTAATGATCACATGATCAAATTTCAGACACTCATAAAATGCAGTCATGTGACCGCAGGATGCTGCAAATTGCCGAATGTCCGAAGTTTGGTCACATGATCACAAAGGGGGCCTGACTGTCAGAATTTTGAATTCAGGACATGAGTCCCGTTTCTTGGGTTGTTTGCAACGTCGAACAGTTGTTAAGTGACTGGTCATAAGTTGATGACTACCTGTATATATACACAGGCACACAGACACAAAGCCTTATTAACAATTCAAGAGAGACTTTATTGAGAAATGAGCTTTAAGATTGGTACCTCTAGTCTATAACGATCATTTTGATGTAAGTTGTGGTTCTCTATCTTGCCATCCAATCTTATCCTCAAATTTGGATTGAAAAACTAAATAATATCATGCTTGTAGTATTGACTTCCAAAATTGTAACAAACATCGACAGAATAGTTTTTCCCTTCCCTTTTCTAGTCTCAATAGTCTAAGCTATTTATACAACCAAATGTTAACAATTTCTAAACCTATTGTGCAAATATCAATGGACAGAATAATACCAGGTGCTAAGATTTATAACCATAATTGGAAAAAAAACGGGGGGGGGGGGGGCGTTAAAAATGCCACATTTTGTCTTTTACGGATTTTACTGTAATTTATTTCATTGGTGGTTGGGAGTTACCCAGAATTGCTGGGACTCTGGCAGGATACAAATTTAATAAATAAATAAATAAATAATAATAACAACAACGCCAGAGTCGAAGAAAAAGAACTGGATAAAATCACGAAATATCACGACCTGGCCCTCGAAACTACACGGCCATGGATGAAACATGTAACAGTGATACACGTTTTCATCGGGGCACTTGGTACCATGTCCAAGAATTTTATAACATTCAGCAAATTGCAGCTTCGTGCAAGAACACCAGGGGAACTGCAAAAAACTGCTACTTGGAACATCATACATCTTAAGAAGGTACTTGGTTGATACCTAGGACGCTGGCAGCAACCCGTATCAACCATTGGCACCAGTCAATGGTATTTGCCATGCATTTTTGAATGTTCAGTTGACCGAGTTTCATGTTTAATGAATAAAGTATAATAAAAGAATCACCACCACCACCACCCCCTCCGTATTAATTAATTATAATAATAATATTAATAATATTAATATATTAAAAATATAATAATAATAATAATATTAATAATAATAATAATAAGTTAATCTTTAATGAGATTCACAGCCTTTGAGGCTGGTTAATAGCTCAGCAGCTCGAGTCCTAACCAAGGACCTAGGAACTGTTAAGGTATCGTCGGAGGATGTAAGCTGTTCCGAGTAAGGTGGTTTTTTGTAGAGTCAAAATGTTCAAGTCCGGCAAATTTAGAATTTCTAAATAGCGGGGTAGCCCTTTGGGTATTGCTCCGAGGGCTCAATTACAATCGGGACAACACACGATTTCTTTTTCCACAGTCGCTCAACTTCAATTTGTAAGTCCCGGTACTTTATGATTTTTTCTTGCTGCTTATCTTCAATTCGTGCATCCCAGGTATTGCAATGTCAATGAACCATACTTTTTTCTTTTCAACTATTGTTATGTCAGGTGTGTTGTGGACCAAGTGCCTGTCAGTCTGAATCCTAAAGTCCCACAAGATCTTGAGTTTCTCATTCTCTAAAACTTTCTCAACCTGATGTTCCCAGTGGTTTTTGCTATACTCAAATCCAAACTTCTGGCACAATTTCCAGTGAATGATCTTAGCAACACGGTCATGGCGTTGTAGGTAGTCATTTTGTGAAATTTTGCTGCACCCATTGATCAGGTGGTCAACTGTCTCATCTTTCTCATTGCAGAGGCGGCATTTGCTGTTGGTGGTTTTTTCTTCTTCTTCTTCTTCTTCTTCTTCTTCTTCTCTTCTTCTTCTTCTTCTTCTTCTTCTTCTTCTTCTTCTTCTTCTTCTTCTTCTTCTTCTTCTTCTCCTTCTCCTTCTCCTTCTCCTTCTCCTTCTCCTTCTCCTTCTCCTTCTCCTCCTCCTCCTCCTCCTCCTCCTGCAGCTGCCCTAGCCTTGTTTCGCAAAAGCTGTTATATCTGGGGTGCATTAGAGGGCAGCAGAGCGCCGAGGTCCTCTCACGGCTGCCCTCTAGCGGGCATTCAAAATTGTGCTGCCTATTGTTTGCTCCCCGTAGACCTTGGGCGACCCCTGGTTTGCCTATCAAAACCCAGCAGGGGTAGCCAGCTTCCCTCCCCGTTGCCCCGTCCCTTGCTCTAAGGGGTCCCCATGATGGTCTAAGACTTGGACAGAATCCTCAACCTTTGCCCACCCGCATTTCTGCCATCGCATTTTTCTCCCGAGGGGGTGTGTGGGAAAAACGTGGGGACGGCTTGTTGGGAGGGGCGGAAATCCTCCCATCCGTTCAATCCGGGGTTGTTTCTTACCGATGCAATCAATTTCTCTACGGAGGAGAAACTTTGTTTTCCTCCAAGCCCCCCCCCCCCACTTTTTTTTTTGTAGTGAAGAACTAGGTAGGGCGTCTTCTCGGCAGAGTTTTCCTCTTTATGAGGCGATTTTCTGCCCGCTTTTCCATCCGCCTCGTTAGCGCAGTAGGCAGCGCGTCAGTCTCATAATCTGAAGGTCGTGAGTTCGAGCCTCACACGGGGCAGAGCAACTTTTTCGCCCCAACAAGAAAAGGAAAAAAAACAAAACAAACCCCACTCGTTGGACCACCTTAGGTAAGAGGACCCCCTGATGCCATCCAAACGACCTTATTTTTCGGGTGCAAAACGCCTAAAGCTACTTCCGGAAGGAGACAAAAGATAAACTACCTTTGCCTCTTCCAATCCTGTCCTTAGAATTAAACCTGTAATTAATTAAGTATATTTATTATACATTGACTTCTGGGCACATGTGAGCTTATGCTAAAATTTACTTTTGTAAAAAATAAAAATAAAAATTACAATACTGGCATTTATTTTAGGGACCAGCATTTGGATTTGCTGCAATTTTAAGATTGCTTTTCCTTCAAACAGGGCAGTTTGTGATTTTCAGCCAAAGTGCCAGATTTATTATTTTTTTTTAAGTGTATTTGGATCTTTTTAGACAACATGATCCTATTTTATTCGAAAAGTACACTCAGAAATCCTTTGGCTGTTCTTAAAGCCAAAAAAAAAAAAAAAACGTGATCAATGAATGAAAGCGGTGATTTTTCAATCTCAAAACAATTTTAAGACAGGTGGATTTCAACTCCCATGGCTGACTGGGGCAATCTGGGAGTTGAAGTCCATACATCTGTAACGCTTGCAGCTTGCATTCCCAAAGAACACCCACACATCCACATTTTTTGTGATAGTTAGTCTGCGGTGCTAAATTTTGACACTGTGCATGAAAACCTTCCCTCTGGCCATCTGTAAGATTGTGTGAACCATCAAAATAGGATTCACGAACCAAGATAAGTACATTGGTGCACCTCTGTAGTTTCTGGAGAATGAACGTTGTCACTAGACTGGCAAATCAGATTAACAGAGGTGGAAGGGACCTTGTAGGTCATCTAGTCCACCCCTCCACCCTGGCCAAGCAGGAGACCCTACACCAGGGGTTTACAACCAGAATGGATTCCCACTAGAGAAATGCTCAACCTTGTGGGCCTCTGAAGCTAAGTAGCGTCAGGCTGGGCGGGCAGTTGGGTGGGAGACCAATGTACAGCTGTTGGTTTCACTGGGAGGCTGAAAAAAACCCCATCGTAGAGGGAAACGGCAGGCTTCTTCTGGGCTAAAAGCCAAAGTTTGAAATCTGGATGACATCCTTATTTTTTTTCTGGGATCAGTGTGATGATTGCAATTGGTGAGGTTCAGGCTGACACTAGGAGCCTAGTCTAAGGTTGGTCGTTGGAATGGATTTCAGAGGACTTCTTCAACAATGCACAAGGGCAAACGCAACAGACCATTGTCCCCTGGAGATGCTGAAATCAAGTCTGTTTTCAAGCTCAGGTAAGATGTACAACAGGTATGCCAACATGCGGCAAATTTTCCCCAATGAATCACTCTCCAAATATTATTATTGTTAGTTGCAAAGTCATGTCCGACACATCACGACCCTATGGACAATGTTCCTCCAGGCATTCCTGTCCTCTACCATCCTCTGGAGTCCATTTAAGATCATGCCTACTGCTTCAGTGACTCCATCCAGCCACCTCGTTCTCCGTCATCCCTTTCTTCTTTTACCCTCGGTCTTTCCCAGCATTAGGCTCTTCTCCAGTGAGTCCTCCCTTCTCATTAGGTGGCCAAAGTATTTGTGAACTTTTTATTATAGAATATTAAATAT